ATATATATATATATATATATACCAGGTGTACAAGTATGAAATGACGATTTTTTTCCCCAAAAAAAACACGTTAAATTCGGAAGAATGATAAAAAAAGATTTATTAAAGTATGCTCCATTGCTAGTTACACATTTTTCCCATCTTTCCGGGCAATTTGTGGATACCACGCCAGTAAAAATCTTCCTCTTTTGCCGCGAACCATTCATTGAGCTATTTTTTCACGTCTTCGTACGAACCAAAGCGCTGCTCGGCAAGTGCGTGATCCATCGATGCAAACAAGTGGTAATCGAAAGGAGCCAAGTCTGGTAAGTAAGTCGCATAGGATAGAACTTCCCAGCTGAGAGCTTCCAACGTGTCCCGAACTGGTTTTGCCGTATGTGATGGAGCATTGTCATGAAGAAAAATGACCTTGTACCTCTTTTGGTATTCTGGTCGTTTTTTTAAGCAGCGAACGGTTCAAATCGATCAATTATTGTTGATAGCGTTTGGTATTAACCGTTTCGCCAGGCTTCAATAGCTCATAAGACCACACCTTTCTGGTCCCACCAAACACAGAGCATCGTCTTCCTGCCAAAGCGATTCGGTCTTGCGGTCGATGTGGATGCGCCTGGATCTACCCATGATTTTTGCGCTTGAGATTCTCAAAAAAAATTCACTTTTTATCCCCAGTAACGATACGATGCAAGATTGACTTTCTTCTGTATCATTCGAGCAAAATTTCATATGTGTTTTTGCGCCTCTCCATTTGTCTCTCTCGTTCAATTCATGTGGCACCCATCTGCCGACTTTCTGAATCTTTCCCATCTCTCGTAGGCGATTGGAAACAGCTTGTTGACTAACGCTCAATTGCTCTGTGAGTTTTTGTGTTTGTGAATCATCTTCATCCAGCAATGCTTGCAATTTCACATCTTCATACTTTTTGGGCGGTTTTCCGTGTTTCTTGTCTGCAACATCGAAATCTCCAATTTTGAAACGCTGAAACCATCGTTCACATGTTTTTTGCGATGGAGCATGTTCACCATAAGCTTCTCCAAGTAATCGGTATGATTCCGCAGTAGTTTTCTTCAAATGAAAACAAAAAATTAATGCTGTCCGCGAATGCTCCTTATTTGGTACAAATTTCGTCATATTAAACACAGCAACACAATACTATGCAAACACTTTTCAATCAAATCACTTTGCGCGTTTGATACTTGTTGATGGTACAATAAAATGGCGTATAATGTTAAATCTTTGTACTTCACATTGTATTGCGCTATTTGTTTCTCAATTCGTCATTTCATACTTGGTATATATTAGGTGTACAACTTTACTTCCGCCGTTTTCCTATAGATGGCTTTAGCGATAAGTGGTGGTCGAAATAAATAGATCATAGACGTCATACAATAAACTTGGGCATCTGTCAACATAACCCCATAGAAACATTAGTCGATTTGTGTCTGCATCATAAAGTTATTCTCGATTGAAAATGTCAGTTTACGAGCCAAATTCTCGTCATTTGCGGGAGGTTTTAATTTTTTGCTTCAATATGAAGAAATCTGCGGCTGAGGCTCATCGAATATTCTCAAATACTTATGGTGAGGCCGCTATTAGTGAAAGAATGTATCGTGAGTGGTTTCAACGCTTCAAGAACGGTGATTTTGATGTCCAAGGTCGTGCTC